GGCAAAAGTTACTGAGATCAATCAGAATGTTGAAATCAAAAGTACCTTCTTCTGGCCATTGGGACCCAGTATCTAGTTTATATTGGGGCCAAACCAAATTGCAGTAAAAAACATGGTGTTTGGGAGAGATCTGGCTGTAAGCCAAGAGTTGAGAGATTAGCCAGAAGACAACCTATAGGTATGAAGGAGTCTGGCTTGGAATTTTTGTTTCCCATGATGCTGATTCTTGGAAGAGATGGAGCTAGACAATTAGCTTCCCGAGTATCCAACTGGGCTTCTGGAACGGGGAAGGGGAAGGCTTCCCAGCTCCCCCAGAAAAGGAGCAGAGAGAATCAGGTGTCCCCAAGTACTGTCCTCTGAACGTGGCTCTGCAGTGGGCCCATGAAACGAGTGACCAAATCCTCTAAAGAAGCCAGCAGCAAGGAGCAGTGGCCGAAATAGCAGAAATAAAATTTAGTCAAGTACTATCAGGTACTCACTCTTAGATGCAGCAGATGGCAGATGAGAGGCCCTGGTCTGAGGGTAGGAGGGATGGAGGAGAGAGGGACACCACACTCCCCAAGGGCGGGCGGGGGTGAGTCAAGACATCTCTTACTCCTCCTGGGTTTCATGCACCACAATGAGAGGTCAACACCGAGACACAGAACGGAAATAGGATTGAGGCAAAGAACGTGAGGTTAAGAGCAGCTTTATTGGAGTAGGGAAAGATCTCCTGGGAGGGAGGGGAGAGCAGACAGAGGGACAGAAGCATCTCGAGCTCCTGGGCGGGTTCTGAGACCCAACGAGTTGGGTCAGGGAAATCGCAGTTTGTCAGTGAGGCGGTGGGAGATATATAGGGCTCGAGGTGGGGAGGTATACGTTGACAACAAGAAGGGACATTTTTTGCTTGCAGCGGCAGGACCTTGAGTCAGAAAGCAATCCGTGGGAAGTGCCTTTGTTGTTTGCCAACTTACTCCCTGTAGTGCTGAGACAGGGGCTGCACAACCTGGGTCTGGAGAGATAAGCTCCTTGGAATGTTGGGGCAGAAGATGCAGACTTCAATAGGTCATTTATCTTCCTGAGAGGCCGGAGATGGGGGCCTTGAAGTCCTATCCTCCTGAAGAGCTGGAGAGGAGATGGGGGCTGCCTAGTCAGGACCCGGCCCAAACACCTTCCTAAATAAGCCAAATTCATAGCCATCAAGTCGATGCTGACTCCTCGGAGCCCCATAGAACAGGGCAGAACTGCCCCTGTGAGTTTCCGAGACTGTCCCTCTCAACCAGAGTAGAAAGTTGAGTCTCACTCGCTCTCTCTCTCTGGAGAAGGCTGTTGGTTTTAAACGCTGACCTTGAGGCCATAAGTAAAGAGACTCAACACTAACACAGATTCAAGAAAGACTCAGCTCACTATCCATAGAGTGTATCCATATTGTGTGGAGCAAGTAGATATTGTTCCACAGCTTTCTAGTGATGAAATCATTGAAGAATGTATAAGTTCAAAAAGCAGAAACTGGTTTTTTTATGATCACGTGTTAGATATGAAAGCTCTCTCTGAAACGGACATACAGTACCTTCTTGTAGTATTTGTTTTCCAATCACGTTTTCTCTTAACATCTTTCCATTCCTTCCTATACAGTTAACAGCATCTCTTAAGAAACAAGAGCAAAACTACAGTATGAATAAAAACAGAAAACTGTAGTATGGGGGAAAAAATACAGTTAAAGAAAAGTTAAATGAGAAAAGTGGGTGAAGGGAGACATCGGACAGTGTAAGACATGACAAAATAATAATAATTTGTAAATTATCAAGGGTGCACAAGGGAGGGGGGTGGGGAGGGGGGGAAATGGGCTGATACCAAGGGCTCAAGTAGAAAGCAAATGTTTTGAGAATGCTGAGGGCAACAAATGTACAAATGTACTTGGCACAATGGATGGATGGATGGATTGTGATAAGAGTTGTACGAGCCCCCACTAAAATGATTTTTTAAAATAAATAAACAACCGATAGTGGCAATACCCTCAACCACAACCCCCACCCCCATCCCCAGCCAGTGGGGATAGGAGGGGACAAGTAGACTGAGGGCAGGCCACTCCTTCTTTCTTTCAGGTGCTCTCTCAGGTGGCAGGTGGGAGGGTGGGATCTCTCCTGTCTGTGTCTGGGGCTTGTTCTTTCACTCCTCTCCTTCCTCCTCTCTCCCCTCTCCTCCTCTCCCCTCTTCCCTCTCTCCTCTCTCCCATGGTTTTTTGAGCTCCTCTGAAATGGCCATCTTCAGTCGCGAACTCTTGCAAGGTCCCCGTGGGACCTCGAAGCTTTCCAGTGATAGTGTGTGCATTTTGAGACTGTAATACCTGAACCTTCCCTTTCCCTCATAAAAGCTACCTGGATTTACAAAAGTGTTCTGCCGCGAGGATTCTTTCAGCGTTGAGAAGCAAAAACCGAGGTAAACCCATCCCAGAAACATAACAATGCTATCTAGACACCATTAGAGATGGGGAGGGGGGGAACCTGCTGTCAACAAAGCTAATTAAACGTCTGTGTAAATTTAAAACAGGGAAATACTTTGTTTTCTTGATAGTGTAAACATTCTTTTTTTTTTTTTAATTATTTTATTGGGGGCTCGTACAATTCTTATCACAGTCCATACATACACATCCATTTTGTCAAGCACATATATACATTTGTTGCCCTCATCATTCTCAAAACATTTGCCTTCTACTTTAGCCCTTAATATCAGTTGCTCATTTTCCCCCTTCTTCCCCACTCCCCCCTCCCTCATGAACCCTTCATAATTCATAAATTATTATAGTTTTGTCATAAATTACACTGTCCAACGTCTCCCTCTGCCCTCTTCTCTGCAGTCCATCCCCCAGGGAGGAGGCTATACTTAGATTCTTGTAATTGGTTCCCCCTTTCTACCCACATTCCCTTCACCCTCCAGGCATCGCCCCTCTCACCACTGGTCCTGAAGGAGTCATCTATCCTGGGTTCCCTGTGTTTCCAGTTGCTATCTGTACAATGTACATCCTCTGGTCCAGCCAGATTTGCAAGGCAGAATTGGGATCGTGATAGTGGCGGGAAGGAAGCTGTAAACATTCTTTGAGCTAAGCTAAAACCATGTGGGGGAGAGGGGGGACATGCTACTTTATTATTTAAAAACAAACAAACAAACATGCTACTTTAGCATTTACTGGTGTACCAAGACTATCGAGAGTCTGCTCAGGACTCCGTTGACTAAGTATTTTGAGTGTGTCGGCCGTTCCGATTGCTGGTGGTGCAGCACAGCTCCCGTCACTGTTTTTCACATTGTGCCTTTTGACACTTTAACTCTGTGCCGGTGAGTTTACTTGCATGCTTGTGCTTGACTTCTTGGGATGGGCAGCTGCGAAGGCCACCATGGTAAGCATTTGAGAATTCTTAAATAGGAGAAAAGTCGTAGCCGGGCTTCCCCCACGAGGACCCCCAAGCGGGGCTGAGATGCTCCTGTTTTCTCCTTTTCATTGCAGGCATTGTGGGCCTTGTGAAGCCTCTCGAAGTTGGGATCTCCAAAAGGTTGAAAAGCTGAAGGAGCAGAGATTTCTTGTCAGACATTTACACCCAGAACTTAAAACCAGCATCAGTCCAGTAGAAATCCCTCCTGAAGCGTCCTAATGCTTAATTAATCAGGAATGTAAACAAGTCATACAGAGACGCCCCTCCCAGCACCGAAGTGCCAGGTGGACACCTTCCGATCTGATGGCAATGACGCGATTCTGATTGCCCCCTCCATTGCAGATGAAGGCACTGGCATGGCTCAGTGCCACCTGGACATCCTGGGCTTTTCCTGGCGGGCCTTCCTGCTGTGTGTAAAACAAGCCCTCCGGAAAACGAGAGGGGGGCTTTCATTACCAGTAGAAGCTGGGAGTGAAGCATGTCCTGTGGACCCAAGAGCCGTGCACCGAGGCCCTTCAGGCTCCAGGGGACAGCGATGCTGGCGGAGGAGCAGCCGCCGAACCAGAAGCCAGAGGCCTTAAGCTTGGGGCTACTGGTGGAGAAGACATGAGCCCCAGGGAGGGTCATCCCGGGTCCCATGGCACCAGAGTGAAGAAACGTTAGCACCCCGACAGCTACAAGGTCTCCCTGAAGAAAGACAAGAGAAACATCTGGTCACGAAAGGAAGCCGGCACCAAGGCCGTTTGCCGATGTTTTCCCAGCAAGTGGACACAGTGAGTTAAGCTGCTCTTTCACCGGATCCTCTCCCATTGCAGGGAAGACAACTACGCTGGGGCATCCCTGTGATGGGCCCTGGGTCGAAGGAGGTCAACAGACATGTTCATTGGCTTTTGCACATGAGACAATCTCAGGTTACATGTCAGAAGGAAGACCCTGGTTACTGCTGTCCGAGGCCTACGAACAGGTAGGAGGAAGCCGCAGTACCTCCGTGGATTTTATAGTCAACGTGAAACAAACCAAATACGATTTCTCAAGACTACAAATTTCAGGGGGCCCAAAGAAAGCCAGTGCGATTCAGACTCATTTGCGTGGAGATGAACCTGACTTTGAACGGACCATGGAGTTACCAGGAGTAAACACTTCTGGAGACTGTTAGGCAAAACCAGCATTTATTGGGGACTAACTTCTGTGGCATGAAAAAGACGGGGCTTTCAGCTCCCAGAAGGAGTCATCGCCTTGGAAACTTACAGGGGCAGTTTGACCCTGCCCTCTGAAGGTGTTGTAAGTCGCATCGACTCCATGGCAGGGATTATTTTTATTTATTTATGTTTTAACATATGTGGCAAGCATCGTGCTAACTACCTCGATTCCATTAACATTGTATTCTCACAACTCTTGAGAAAGGTAATATTAGCATCTCAGTTACAGGAAAGCTAATTAATCCAAGGCTAAAAGCTTAATAAGCTTAGCTTGGCTCCAAAGACTTTATTTGAAACCCTGAGTTCCTTGGGCCTTCTTGAAATGATCACCTTTATGCCACATTGCATGAGAACAAACGCAATACCCAACAGTGCCAGAGACCCACAGACTATAATGTGATGGCTTTTACTACAGGCTCAGGCAAAGGCCCACTGTTGCCAATGCAGGTCATGCAGCCATAGCCCACCACGTCAAACCTACGTGTCCAAAGAGAAGACAAGGAAGAATGGGAAAGTTGGGGGAGATGACTTAGGCAACAAATAACTGGATAACTTACCTCATGAACTTAGAAATGTTTCTAGTCATGGAAAATATTTTACGCCAAAGGGTAGACTGTGAGTCACAGAACTTACTTTGAGCCCCATAGCATACTTTTGTCCACACAAGGGAAGATGCCCCCTTCTCCAGGAGCATGCAGCGCACCCCACACCACATGCGTGACTTTACCCCTCTCCCCCAGGGGCATCTTGTGTGATAAAGAGCCAGCACAATTGTGCAGGGGGGCCCTGCTCTGTTTTAAGTTTACTTAAAAAAAGTAAAAACCAATCCATGTAGCATTGAGCGGATACCAACCCATGGCGCCCCTAGTGGTACAGAGTAGAACTGCACCCCATAGGGTTTTCAGATCTTTCTTCTGCGATGCCTTTGGGTGGATTCAAAAGACCAACCCTTTGGTTAGGAGTGGTAACGTGCACAACCATGTGCATCACCAGGGACTCTGGCCCTTGAAGTCTTAGCACCCGAGAAAAAGATGATGCAATCAGATACCAACAGATCCTCTTCATGTGTGACAAGGTGGTCTAGCAAGATACCCAGGCGCAAAGCCAGCCTCACCCAAGCTGAGACAAGTAAGGCATGACTCCGCTTTCTCTCAGGTAGTAGGTGACCACCCCACTTCCAGGGGACAGGCTGGTTTTGATGTAAGGCTTCACGTTCAGGCCGGCGTCCACTGCCTTCTTGGCTAGCAGTCCTGTGAAACAGAACACACAGCGTGAGTGGCTCTCGGTGCCAGGACGGCCCAGGAGGGAGACACGCTTTTCAGTCTGCTTTTTCCACCTCTGCTGACAAAGTCCCTTCACGCAAGCACTTTCTGCTCCCTGACGGGAATCGAACGCTCCCAGGTCCCAAGTCCTGCACATGTATGCAATGAACGTAAAATGTGTCATGGAAATGAAGAAAGAGATGCACGCAGGCTTTTTTTTTTTTTTAAAGCAAGAGATCGAAGGCTGTCTAGGTTATAGAATGAGGTTTTAATTTTTTAAAGAAAAGTGATCTTTCTAGTTGAGTTTCATTTGTATAAAAACTATAAATGGGAAAGGTCTTTCTAGAAAATATGTTCATCGATACCAGCTGGTGATGAATCTAGTCAGCCTCGCTGGAAAAATCTTGTCCACTGATAATTCTTGAAGCAGAAAATCAGTAGTTCTTGGGCCACTGGTCTCTTGGCGAATACAGACGCTGTGACTGCAACTCCGGTGTCAAGTCTTAGGAAGTATTATGGAAGTTGGAAAAAGTCGGATAGAAATGAGGGACGGGGGTGGGGGGTGGGGGGGCATGCTGGTGATCTGTCTCAAGAAAACTGGTTTGCTCCAGGCAAAGAAAGTGTAGGCAACAACCTATGAACTCCTGGACCAAAAAAGCTTTCCTGGGGTATTTACATGCACCAGAGAACCAACTGTTGACACTGCCTGCTCTGTGCACTGTAGAGACTTCTGGCGACGACAGACATTGGACTTGAAGAGACGTCACACAAGTGAAAACCCTGCATGAAACATTAACTCAACTAGAATTGTATAACAGGGCAGGTCCACTGAGTTTTATCCTCCCAGCACCACAGTGGAGACAGGCCAATGCAAAGCCAGGGTTCAAGTCTATGATGAAAAAGAAAGGGGCAGGCAGGAGGGAGAGAAAAAGCCTTATCAGGGTTTTGTTTTTCCCCCACAGAGAAAGAATAAAGCCCGTGACATGAAAACATGTTTGCTTTCCTCCCAGAGTCCAACACGAGGTTCCTTGCTTCACCAGGAACTGGCTTCCTTTGATTTCCTCTGCTTATATTCGGAGTGAATGCCACAGAGGAAGAATACTATGTGTTACCAGAGCTTTACTTTACATATTTTCACTGGCTAACATTTATTGGGTAGCTCTTTCTGGGCCAGTAAACCTCTGCATCTGGACAAGACAAGGGTTAGGGAGGTCGACTCTGTGCAAGATACAGATAAGCCTCTGGGTCACATCGTGAGAAGGAGTTCATGTACACGCCCATGTGACACTGGGGACAGATTCAAATGCACTTGCCCGCTCCTAACATCACCGAAGGGTTACTGGTGTTTGTACAGCTCGTGATGGCAGCGATGACCACGGAACCGTGAGCAAGTGTGAATTCACTGTTATTGTAGATAAAGGTCTGATGGTCATTGTGACGGTCTGGAGGGACGTGGAATCCTTTAAACCCTTGCTATCGGAAGGAAACAATATATGCAGTTATAAATCCTCACTTCAGAAGAAGAAACACTTGGATAATCATAATTTGAAGGCCTGATTCAGACAAAACACCAGTATTTTGGCTCGTAAGCTCTGAGCTATTACAGAGATATCAAAGTGAAGTTCTCAGCACATTTTAAACCTCTATAGACGGCTTTACTGAGGTTACTGATTCTAACACCATAGACATTTAGGAGACTGTATCATTTTGGCTTGAATCAAATAATCACAATCAATAATGCAAACTAAACACAGCTAATCACAGTCAATAATGCGTAAACTAAACACAGCTGGACATTGCGGACGATGCTGGTGTCCCATGGATGCAGCTCAACGCACATCTTTTCCACCAATTCCAGATATGTTCTCTGAGAATCTAAGGTCCCCAAATCATCTGGACACAGAGGGGACCCGGGCACAAGTCCTATCCCCAACCTATAGCCCTATCAGGGAAATCACACATGCAAAGAATAACAAGCACTAACAGTGTACACTAAGAGTGGATGAAATGCCACCAAAGCCTCTCGGATCAAGTATCTTCTAGGCTCAGAGGAGGGAACGATGACTCTCAGCGGTTATGCAGCAGAGGAGCTGTGATCTCTCGGACCTGAGTCTTTGAGGAGCTGAGAGACTAGGGCACGCACAGACTTGGAAGAGACATTCAGGCAGAGAGTGGGACGCGCATGAACACAAGAACAATAGCCAGAAAAGCTTGGGCGAATCCTAAGAACAAGTTGGCAAGAGTGGTATGAGAAATGGGGAAGGCCAACAAGGTGGGTTGAATTGCGTTTACAGACCATCGCGTGCCTTCAGGAAGCCGCTTGACTCATGGTGGGGAGTCATGAAGGAGAACAGAGAAATGACACCCGGAGTGGCAGGCTACAGGAAGGTCCTGGTCAGCAAATAGTGTGAAAAGAAGACTGGCCACACAGAAACCAGCCATGAGGGTGGGAGGGAGGTGACCCATCAGGGAGGACCTGACCCGGCCTTCCAAATGCCCTACCTTAGCACCAAGACAGCTCTCAAAGTCCTTTTTCATGTCAGACACGGCCACTTTGTCCTGAGGCCTTTTGGGTCCACTGCAGCAGGGTACGACAGTCTTCAAATTTAATTCCACTATCTGTTCACCCAAAAGAGAACAAATGGTGAGATTCACCTTCCACCCACGAAGAAAAAACACTGTCAGAGAAGCTATACCACTACAGTCAAAACCAGCAAGCACAACAATACTCAAAACCCACCTTGAACACTTAAGTGACTGATTTTCCAGGGTCAAGTTGACACTTCAGTAACACAGGACAGGCAAGAAGCCTGCCATCTCTCAAAAAGACCAGGGCGGATGCTGTCGCTTCTGCGCCTAGAACAGCCTTGTGTAGCAGGCCGTACATTCTTTTCAAACATTTAATTTTCAGTTGGGTCTTCTACTGAAATGAAAGTAATGATCCTGGGTGGGGTACTGTTTAAGTGCTTGACTTTGAACCATCAGGACAGAGGTTCAAATCCACCAGCTGCTCCCATCAAGACCTACACCCTAGCTAGGGCTGCTGTGGGTCAGAATCGAAGCATCAAGCCATCGATGTGCCTACCTTAGTCTAACTGGCAAATTCCTTCCCTGGGTGTCAGTGGAGTGGGTTATGCATTAGGCTGCTAACTACAAGGTCAGCAGTTCAAAACCAGCAGCCTCTCTGTGAGAGAAAGAGGAGGCTTTCTACTCTCATCTAGCGAGATCTTGGAATTCTACCAGGGCAGTTCTACTCTATCCTATGGGGTCGCTGCAATGAGTCAAAAATCAAATCCAGGGGAGCAAGTTTGAGTGTTTTGCGTTTCCCGTCAGTGTGAAAGAAAACAAAATAAGGCCCTGTTAGGTAGGCCAGCATAAGACTTAGGGGTGTCGGTTAACGCGTGCCCAGAGGGCCCAGCTGGGAAAACAAAGGAGTGGCGCACTGCACATGCTCAGGGTTCCCGCCAGTACGCAAGGGTGGGCGTGAACCTGAATTGGCTCACCTAGCCAGGTAAATTCAATTCAGCCAATGGGGTCGATCAGGGGTTGTCCACCACACCTCCCCGTGGAATCCTTGAAAAGGCAGAAGCCGGGAGAAGAGAGAGAGAGAACTTAGGTGCAGAGAGCTTTGGCATACTTTGCGGGACGCCGAGCAGTTTCCAGCCAGGCCGCATGTCCGGAGGAGCCCCTTGGGTGCCGTGTAAACCTGAAACTTCTTCTAACCCTCATAAGACTCACTTCGATCACGAACCAGGCTTCTTCGTGAATTCTTTCGCGCGCGCGCGGGCAGAGCCAAGGACCGAGGTATAAATCTAGCTCCAGAAAGATCTAACAGCCCAACATCTAGTTTACCCTCTAGTGCTAGCTGCGCACCAAATGCAAATTCCTTTTGCACCCTCGAAACCACAAACCCGACAAAAGGGAGACTCTCTGATCGCTGGATGCATAGCACCAAGCTCGGTGTTCACCCTCGATGTTTCAAGTCCTTTCCTCCTCTCTGAAAACGCTGGGCTGGGGGCCTTGCAGTCGGGCCATCCCTGCATACCCCCCTCGGATCCCTGCGCCGCTGCCATGTCTTGCAGGCCCAGTGTGAATGCCCTGCAGCGCCTGGTGGAGCAGCTCAAGCTGGAAGCCAGCATGGAGAGGATCAAGGTTTCTCAGGCAGCTGCAGCGCTTCAACAGTGCTGCATGCAGAATACCTGCAAGGATGCCATACTGGTCGGGGTTCCAGCAGGAAGCAACCCCTTCCGGGAGCCCAGAGCCTGCGCTTTACCCTGACCACTAGGGAGGAAGCAGTTCGCTGGGGAAAGCTTCAAGTACAGATTGGTGACCGCCTGCCTCCAAGTCGCAAGACATTTTCTCTAGCCAAACAACTTCCAGCTCTGAGACCTTTCCTGTGGCCTGGTACTATAGCCAAAATTCTATAGGAATTAGTGTATTTCTGTTCAGTTAAGAAAGAGTAAATATTTACAGGAAAAAAAAAATAGGAGATTTACCCAAAACTGAAGGTGGTGACCTTGTTCAGAGCCTTTTTTGTCCTTGCCAACAGACTGGGACATTAGACACCCATTTTTCCTCTCTGCCACATGTGCAGCTAACACTGTGTGTTTGGTGAGGAAGTGTACTGAGGGACCGTAACCCGTGTTCTATTTTCAGGTCACAGATTGAACTGTTTGGGCACAGTTCTTGAAGCACGCCTCCAGATTTCCTACCTACGTAATCATGTGAAGTGGAGCTGCCAATTTTGTTTCTAGGCAACACCAGTAAATACTTGATGTTACAGTATTCCCAGATTTAATGGGGGGAAAAAACCCCACCTTAGTTTACAGTGAATTTGACAACTCTCTGTTTTTAAAACTGTCTTAGTAGATGAAATTTTCCTTTGAGAACTTGCAGGGATGCAATCAATTTGCCGTAGTGTTTTAGCCTACATGTTGGCCTTTATAGGGATTGTTTTATTGCTACCTTAAAAATCACACGTGCTTGCATTTTCCCATACGGACACATGAAAGATGTGTTGGTGTTTTCCTGTACATTCTTCAAATGCACATAGTAATAGGAGTGTGTTACGAATCTAACTTCTTTATGGTGTTTCTGATCATATGAGAATTGAAAACGTTAACTTCTCTTGTACATACTCAGACTTTCCATTCATATTAAAGTTACATTTCATTCTAAGTTCAAAAGTTTGAGCAGTGTTAGGTAGACAAGCTCACACACTAATGTGACCATTTTATAAAGATTTAAGTGACTAATGCAGCAGTCCCATAGGGAGGGAGGTAGTGCTTGCTAAGTGTTCAAAACCAATGCAAAATAATGAGGAGCTGATGCCAGGGGCTCAAGTAGAAAGAAGATGCTTTGAAAATGATGATGGCAACAAATGTACAAATGTGCTTGACCCAATGGATGGATGGATGGATTGTGATAAGTGTTCTATGAGCCCCCAATAAAAATTTTTTTAAATAAATAACAATAAACGCAACTCTCCACTCTCAACAACAAAAAAACCAAAATGTTTTCAGACCTGTGCAAGAACCAACTTGATGGCACTGAACAACGTTTTCAATTACTGGTTTAAAAGCATGCAAAATAACAAAATTGTTAATGAGCAGACTGAATTAAAGTAAGGCTGCATGTAGAAAGTTATAAGGGCTTGTTTGCTTAGAGTGTTATTCATCCTAAATTATGGTTAAATGTTTGGTGGAAAATAAATGTTTGAACCATAAATTCAGCATAACTTCATTTGACTTCTCAATAATCTTAATACTGGAAGCAATAAAAAATATATGATCTACAAAAAAGAAAGAATTTCTGTAACTTAAAAAAGAGCAAGTTGAGTTTACTAAAGGTTCCAGACAACAAATGTATAAGTGTGCTTTACACAATTGATGTATGTATTGTGATGAATTGTATGAGCCCCAATAAAATGATTTTTTTTAAAAAAAGGTTCCAGACAAAGGTTACAAGTACTTCCTATAAGGCTAATAAGCCTATGAAAAGTTTCAAAACATGAACCATGAAGATAATACACATTAATGGAATAATGTGATGCCCTTAAACACACATAAAATTTGCAAATTTTGAAAACATATCAACACTAAACACTAGAGAGAAAAGAGATGGCAGGAATTCACTGACGTTTTTTGTAAGAATGCAGATGGAATAGCACCCCGGAGTGTAACTTCACAATGTCTAATGAAAGGGAAGATGGCCTTATAGCCTATCTGATGATTACATTTTCTTTTTGATTACATTCACCTTTTCATTTCTTCTTCTGTGATTACAGCATTTATCAAGAACCAAGTGCATCAAAAGTGAGGTACCTGCTGTTGAAAGCCAAACTGGTGAGAGTGCTGGTGGAAGATTAACAGCATTGTATCTGATGGTTGAAACCACTACGTCCACAGAGTCCCTTTCCCAAATGTAGACTCTAGGGATATTCTTTTTTATAGAAAAGGTGGTATAACGTGAAAACCTTAGTGGTCTGTATCCGCTGCACATTGTATAATCTGGGGTATCTCATTTGGACTAGGTGACAGAAATGAAGCTGGAGATCACATGATAGACTTTTGCAAAACCAACGACTTGCTCATAGCAGATAACTTTTTTCCCAGCAACACAAAAGGCATCTACACTCATGGACTTCGGCAGACGGAAGACACAGAAACCAAAGTGACTCCGTCTGTGGGAAGGGGCACTAGAGAAGCTCAGTTATCAGCAGCTAAAACCAGCCAGGGGCTAACTGTGGAATAGACCAGCGATTGCTCACGTGTAAGTTAAGGATAAAGCTGAAGAAAAGTAAAACAAAACCATGAGAGCCAAAATATGACCTTCACTCTGTCCTACCTGAATTTGAGAGACGTCTCAAGGACAGATTCGATGCATTGAGCACTAAGGACAGAAGACTGAGAAGCTGTGAGAGCACATTAAGCCGTCATTCATGAAGTAAGCAAAAGGCCATTAAAAAGACAAGGAAGAAAGAAAGGACCTCAGTGGATGTCAGAAGAGACTCTGAAACTTGCTCTGAATCATAGAGTATCTAAAGCAAAGGATGAAGTCAAAGAGTATGGGGGACCAGCCTCCACAACCAAATGGGCCCAAAGGGGCAGTTGTGTAATTGAAGGGTAAATGAAAGAAACAAGGCATGTAAGGGCTCCCATTTTCCATGGAGACTGGAACCAGGGGGTTCTGGTGAGTGTATTCTCCCACAGGCATAAATCTCAGGCATGCAAGCCATGTCACATATATACGTCACAGGAAGGGGACATGTTTAGGGGTATAAAGGCAACAGAAAGGTACATATGTAACAAGATGGGCAGGTTAACCTTGGTTCATCGCTGAGCTGGATTGCCCATATGTGTCTTTGAGCTCTTCTCCAGGGGAGCAATCTATGATCTTTATCAAAAGGAAGTGGGCAGTATTTAGGGTGTGGTACTCTGATCGATCTTAATGGCAGACAACCTTCCGACAGTTAGCCTTCAAGCGTATGGTAGCAACCATGCCCTTGCAAGCAGCACCTTAAAATTGCCACTATTACAGGGGACATTGTGGGGATCAACTTTCGTTAGGACAATGTGACTGGGATTCA